AACCAAAATCTAAACATTGTAAATGCTAATAAAAATAATAATATGAGTGAATGATGGAATAGATCCACATAGCTTGCTTATAAATGCCAGCAAGGTTGGGGTCATAAATACCTCAATTGTGACTTGGTGTTGGATGGTGTGCTCCAATTTTACAGCATAAAGAGCTTTAAAAGTGATGAACAAATCCTTGAATTGGACAAGAAATCAATCAGCATCTAATGTGACATATTCAAAATAGGTGTTATTCTAAGTTATTGAGGGTAGCCATACGACAATGACATAAATTAGGCAAATTTGTTCATTCATTCTGACCAGTCTCAGCATACTCTATATGACATTCTTATTGACTTAAAGATGGTATTTTACCTAAGGAAATGCTATGAGCAAAATTAGCATCCTGGACCATGAATCACTTTTTTATTTTAATTATTGTTACATGAAAATACCTTCATGCAGGTTAGTGTTCCACCACCATAGGCTTGTCTGATCAACTCAAAAGTTAAACAAGATTACATTCTTGTTCTGGTTTTTTCTGTATTAATTCCATTACTCAAGCTTTTTTAAAAACAGGCTTTACTCTCCGTTGTTGGCAAAGAAACCTATATCCATCCTGTTACATGCTGACTGTGCAGTTATTTTATCTTTTGACACAGGACGGCTTAAGCCTTAAGGCATTGTCTGCAAACCTAGGAGTTTATTGCAGCAATAAAAATAGATATTATCCCAAATTTAAGTAATTCTATTTACCAAGAATCATAATTAGAGGATAAACAATACCTGCATTGAGCGGGTTAAAGATTCCAAATGTCTTTGAATCATCTTCCAATAATTGTCAACATCAAAGAAACAAATACCAATGCTGAAGCTTCTAAAGCTATTAATGCAATAAATGGAATTGTCAGTTGCAGACGCAATAATTTTATACATGCAATCATTAAATTATTGAAAGCCAAAATGCTGAGCTTTCTGTTCCATGGCACACAGTTTTGTATATTTAGGGAAGAAAGATCTTTAGAAGTAATAAAAACTAAATATATTACAGCAGTTCTATATATCCCCTGATGCGTATCGTATGCCCTTTTGCTTTTGAAATGTGTTTTTTGTTCTGTTGAGGCTCATGTGAGAAAATGCCAACTGAAGTACTGTCTAAAAGTAACTTAGGGAACTTCAACCACCTTAATTTTTGCTAATAGGTTTACTTCTTTGCTGGAAAGAAGGCATTTTACTGTGACCTTGTAACAGTTTCTTCTTCTTCCAAAAAGCACATAAGAAGCAAATGCAGAGATTAAATAGTGTATTTTGGATACTGAATTATAAAAGGATCAAAGTTTATTTTCCCATTTCTTTAACATTGGCTTAGATGGAAGAACTTTCAAAGTAGCCAACTATCTCACTAATATCATCTGTTCCTTTTAAAAAAACATTGGTTAGTTAGTTAGCTAAAATGCTATATCATCTGTGGCTCTGGAGAAGAATAATAGTACCTCAGTATCACCTTTGCCCTCTCTGTCAAAACCAGCAATATAGTCATTTTCTCATATTTTATTTTGCTCTCCTATGTATCATTATGTTGCTTTTATCTAACAGGGTCCTTATTAGTCATCTAGTTCAGCTAGGTAAACAAACTTTTCCTTTTTTCCTATAAAAATAATCAAGTGGATTGCTAAATTCTGCTCAAGTGCAATTGCCATAAGGGAGGTAGGAATATCACTTTCTGAACTTGTTAATGTGTTATTTGCATTTGTTTGGTTAGTGTTTTTAAGTATTTAATGTTTTTATTGTCTGAGTCTTTTCTTGCTTTTTCCTCATTTGAATGTCTATGGAGAGTCTCAGTTATCCAGGTCATGGTGGTCCCAAAGGTGCTTTTTTCAAGAAGCAACTGGACTTTCTGGTTTTTCTTTGAAGATGTTTTGCTTCTCATCCAAGAACCTTCTTCAGCTCTGTTGAAGAAGCTTCTTGGATGAGAAGCGAAACATCTTCAAAGAAAAATCAGAAAATCCAGTTGCCTCTTGGAAAAAAGCACCTTTGGGACATCCTCATTTGAATCTATTCTGTATTGGTTTGGACTAGTAATTAATAAATAAGCAGTGGTGTTGTCATGCAATTTTTTTTAAAAAAAATT